TTTTGGCTAAAGTGAGGTGTTTTTTTTTTTTAAGGAAACGTTTCAGTGCCTAAAGTTCATCCCCCAAACAAATGACCAATAAAACTCCACTGAAGTAATATTTTTTTTTCTGTAATTTATAATAGACTAAGATAATTTACTTCTGAAATAATGATTTTAATAAGCTCTATGGTTAGCAAAAGAGTCACTGGTGATGCACATGGTTAAGAGCTGGAATACTAACCACAAGCTTGACAATTGAGACCCACCCAGAGTTGCCTTGGAAGAAAGGATTGAAAAATGTCACAGCTTTAAAAACTCTATTGAGTATGGGTTTCCTTTGCTCATATGGAGTTACCAACAGTCAAAACCAACTCAAGAGCAATTAAGAAAAACAGCATTGTGTGGGAAGATTTTTGTGAATATTTGGAATAAAAACTTGATATTTTTGTTTTTTTACTCTTTCAACCAAGTCAAAGGCTTGCCATATAATCTGTTGTAGGTAGCTTGTATGCAGCTCATCAATGCCCTTATTACATCTCCTGATGATTTGGACCTGAGGCTTCACATCAGAAATGAATTTATGCGTTGTGGATTGAAAGAGATATTTCCAGTAAGTATCCAGCAGTCTCTTTATGAATATTTAAATTTAAAGAGCATTTGAGCAGGGATGAATTTAGATAAATTACCTTCACGAATAAATTGTCTGTAGGAAAAAGCTTAGTATTGAAAAACAATCCATTTTTAAAATATAGATGATAAATTAAATATTGTTTAATACTTTAAATGCTTGAATGTTATAAGCTTGACTTATTTAAAGGAATACATTTACTTTGTTTGCAATTATTTATAATTATAATAAAAATGATTTATTCTATTTTTTGCTGAATGTATTTAGAATTTAAAGTGTGTTAAGAATGATGGCCTGGATATCCAACTTAAAGTCTTTGATGAGCATAAAGAAGAAGATTTGATTGAATTATCTCATCGCTTCGAAGATATTAAAGCTGAACTTGAATATCCTTTTGTTGTGTAAAATTATGAATAAATCACAATAAATAACCCCCTCAAAAAAAATCTTCTCATTTCGGTGTAAACAATGTGAAATCAAACCTTCTTTTTAAATTTAGTGTGCATTTTTATGGATGCAGACATCAAAGTGTGCACAATTGGACTGTCTCTCTCGTTCCATGCTGTTGAGTCAGTCCTGAACCTTGCCTGTAGCCCTGGCCTGCCCCATGTTCACTCTCTTTACCACACTGGAGCCTGGTTCTTACAGTCCCTGTGTCAATCCCTCTCGTGAAGGTTTCCTTTTTTTTTAAAAAAAAAAAATCAAAGAATTGGTATATTACTTCAGTTAATTTGTTGAACTATGCAGTCATCATAATATGGTTAAATGTATTCTTCTATTCAGTTTGTTACTTGTTTCTTACCCCAGAGCTTTTGGCATTAGATGTAAGATGACCTCAGTTTAGTGGTTAGCTCCTTTTCTATGTTTTTAGTATATGTATAATCATGGGAACCCCATGTTAACCCTGTGGGTCTGTGCATGGCTGAATTCTTATTGGAGTTCGCTCAGTTCCTAACCTCCACTCTGCTTTTCCATGATAGATATAACCTGGCTAACTCTGTTGAGTAAAGTATTCCCAGAATCTAATATAAGATATACAGTTCTTTTCCTACTAAGTCTTGGTTTCGAGGAAGGAGGCTGGTTAGGTATTTTTGTAAAGGGAAAGCCAGGAAATTCTAAGTCAATTCATTGCCCCAGTTATTCTCATTTCCATACGAACTGCCAATGTTTTATCGCATGTTAAATAAAACCAAAAATCCCCCAAAGCAAGCAATTGCTGCCTAACTCAGAGTATATATATGGGAGTAGGGCTGTGCTTCCTAGAGTTTTCAGTGTCTGTAATCTATCAGAACTTGATAACTAGGCGTTACTTTCAAGAAACCTCTGGGTATACTTGAATCATCAGTTTTCTCATTAGTAGCCCTGCTTATTATTAACCTTTTATACTGTGTTGGAAATAACATGTTGAATATACATGATTTCTATTTTAGAGTTCCAGAACCCAAACCCTGTATCTGTTAACACTGAGATAATTAGACTGCTAATTTACAAACTCTCTAAATTATAAATGTACAGATATATTAATAATAAAATTCAGGTCTTTTGTGTAAAACTTACTCTCAGTTGTATGCAACTTGATGACACTTAACCACTGCTAAATGAAAGTAGTACTGTTATATCTGGAGAACACTCTTGCAGTTTGTCCATCACTCTTTGTCAATATGCAGTATGTAGTAACCTGGGTTTGCTCTGATGCTGAACCTTGTACCATTGAAGTATCAAATACCAGAATGGTTTCCTATTGTCAAAAGTGTTTGGTGGAGCTCCCTGTTATAAAACAGGTTTTGAAGCAGGAGTGGCATCCACTTCCTAAACCACATACCTCTGGAAACTCTATGAACTTGTAATTGACAATAGTTATGGAAAGACTTAGGTCTTTTGTTCATGGAGTCACTATGACTCGTGCTTGACTTGACAGCAATCAACAACAGCAGCAACAGTGATCTGTAGGACTGAGTAGAAGTTACTCCTAAGGTTTCTGAAGAGAGTCTCTGGATGAAGCCTGCTGCATTTTTCTCCTCAGGGACCGTCACTTTGGTTAAGAGCTCTATTGCTAACTGATTTTAAACTTACACATTCAATAATCTTGCCAAGCCTTAAGGATTAGTCTGTGGTGGGATTTTTTTGTTTGTTTGTTTTGTTTTTGCAGCTGTTCAAAGTAGAGTGTAAATAAACTAACATATTCCTTAATAATCAATTTACTGAGGCATCTGATGTTTACAGCATCGTGTGGAATATGGTTAAGGAAACTAGAGCAGAAGGATATTTTATTTCTATTCTTCAGCATCTTCTGTTGATTCGAAATGATTACTTTATAAGGTAAGAGGAAGCTGTATTCCAATGTTTTATTTTCCTAATAACAAACCATTAATTGCGAAATTCACTTGGTGTTTGTTTTGAGCAAATGGATAATTTTGAGAGTTTTATCATGTAATAATGTACAGTTAGAGTGTATGGTGTTCTCTTTGGGCATATATTTTGATAAGACATTACTATTATTCTTCAAATTCCAGTGGATTCTTGGTTATAGTCTTTCAGCTGAATGAAAATGTAAACTAGCAACAAAGTAGAAGTTTATCCTATGATTGATAATACTTTCTGGTTAGTGCTTAGAAAGTAAAAATGATGTTGTTATGCTACATTTTAAAAATTATGTGCATAAGAATTCTATGTATTGTATTGGGTTCTAGGAGTGCTCTGATCAGCAGAGTATTGCTTTTACCAGTGTTTGAGCCCTTTATTAATATACTGATATTTAATGCTGCACTCTTCTCCCGGTGATTAACTCCTCTGAAAATCTGCCAAAAGGGTCAGCTATGAATAGGTTCTGACTCTATGGTACACAACAACAACATCATATCATAGCTAGACAGTTGCTTTTTCAAGTTTGGTTGTGTTTTAAGCATCTGAGATTAACTTTTTTCTCCATATTTTATAGTTCATTTGTAGATATTTATTTGATATTACTGTGTAATTCACTGTGTAACTCACTGAATTGTGTGTATAGGCTATAACTGGCAGCATACTTGGCACATGGTATATACTGAATAAATTTTCTCTGCATGATCTTTTCACTTCTATTACTTTTTATTACACTTTTATGAGGAAAAATACTGTCTTGAAATTTAAAATAATTCTTGTTGCTATCATTTTAGTTTTGCTAAAATTTATTCTCAAGTAATGTGGGCATTCTGGCTTCTCTCACGCTAATTAGAGGGATTTGCTAGCTATGTCTTTTTTAAATTATGGTAGGTATATGACAGTGTAGTAGAATAAGAGTAAAAAAAAGTAAAAATGTAGCTTTTTATAAGTACAGATAGTCTATCTAATCCTTTGTAGTTAGAATTTTCTATTAGTACTCTAAAATATAAGAGTGTAATAACAGTGATATTTTTTTGATCTGATGTTTTCTTAAAAATATAAAATTTTGAACAATTACTTGTTTAAAAAATATAATAAAAACACTGGTTAACTCATCAAATAAGAAAGCTTTATGTCCTAGGTATCCTGCTAATTATAACATTATACATCCACCCCAAATTTACATAAAAATGCAGTTGAAGCCCCATCTGTTCTAAAGTAACCCTACCCGTTTCTTGACTTGTTTCCTTGCTCTTGACCATCTAATGGTGCTTGAGTTGCCAAGAACCCTCCACTCCTTCATTTTCAAAGGTTTGAATATGTATGTACTGCTACAGGGACTGTGTCTTAGTTATAACTGAATCCTTTTTTATATGGTCCAAGAGACCATGAAGTTGTGCCTAACTTCAAAACTAAATAAAAAGCTCAACAGTTCTAGGGTCTACTCAGAAGATCTTATGACTTAAAATTAATGAGATCGAGAGTCTTAGGAAAATATTATATGATGATATTACCAATGTGACATTTAGTGATACAGAGAAGACTAGATTGATATCATTTTTTTGTTAGTCTTCCATGTCACTTTAAACCATATATCTCAAGGGAAGAGCCTTAACGTACCATCCAGACCTTGCTTTTTGTTCAAGATGTGGTAACTATGAAGGCAGAGTTAATCCTATTAGAGTTATATAGTAAGACAATTCTGTCTCCTCCCCCTCCTTGTTTCAAGATTCATTATAATTATTATGACTGCAAATATTGTGATTGTTTTAAAGTTATTCCTTTATTCTATAATTGCATAAGAATTATGATTCTTTGCCATGTTTTCCATACATTTGACTTTAAAAATTGTATTGAGTTTTAAAATTTACATATAATAAAGTTCACATGTTCATGTATATGTATGAATATTTTTATTTATGAATTTTCTAGTTTTAGTTTTTACCTTCATTTTTAATTTTCATCTTACTTAAATGAGACTGTGTTCTATCAGAAGTTAGAGCATTTTAAACTAAATTATATAAAAATAGATTCTTTAACTTTTTGCAAGTAGGTAGACCACGTCTTTTCTTATACTATACAAAAATGCACTACTTTGTAAGAATTAGTAGATGAAAAAATTAGAATCTCCTGTTATTTTCACGTAGTTACTAAAATTTAAATTTCATTGTAACGTAATGTAATTAGCCAACCAAAGATAGGTCTCTTTTTCCTTAAGGAGGGTAAATAGCAACCCTAAGTAGTTGGAGAGTAAAGAAAAGAACATTCAGTTCTGATCTAATAAATAATAACTTGTTCAAATTAATAATCTTGGGGTTATACAAATGGTTAACTTGTTCAGAGACTTCTTTGAAGTTCTGTTTTGACCATCTGTTTCTGAGAGGTCACAGCCTTGGAAAACCTAGAGATCAATTCTGCTCTGCATTCACTGAGTCACCAGGAGTTGATAGCAGCTCCACAACAACTAACAACAACATGTTCAGAAGACCAAGCTATTTGAAAGTAGCAAGAGCTCTTGTGGACTAGTGAATAAGAAGTTGTGCTGCCAACCCAAAGGCAGATACTTTGAATCCATTAGCTATCAAAAGGGGAAAAATGAGGAATCTCCTCCCATGATGTTTATAGTCTCCGTAAATGTTCTGGAGGGTCAGCTATGATCCAGCTAGACAGTATTTAACAACGTGAAGAGGTTGGCAGAACATGGGAGATAATTTCTGACATTTGTTCAAAATACTACAGAGATAATGGCGACTTTAAAATACTCTGCAGCAATAATGACATTTTATCAGTGAAATAAGATCAATTTATTCCTTAACTGTAAGCAGGGTAATGTTCATAAATTTACCAATATTACTGACAGAGATTACTTTCTACATTTGTAATTTTAGAATCTGGAGTACTTCTTGCTAGAATTGCCTTCTCTGTGAGTTCTTGCACAATATTTATGTTATGCTAGTGATGAACTCAACTGAGAATTGTACAAGTGAGCAAAAAACGAACTGAACTTTTGGTTCTTTTTTAAAAAATGATACACAGTCTTTGTTTATCTGGTGCTTCTCTAACACCAAAAATGAGTCTTTAACATGTAGAAATTTATTCTCTCATAATTTAAACATCTCTTAGATATCGATAATTGTAGAGGGGCTTCAAGCCTTTTGTACATAGGGTCACTATGAGTCATGCTCAACTCGAAGGAAATCAACAACAACAACAACAACAATCCAGTCAGAACTGACTACGGGCCTACCCTCCAGTAGATTTTCAGAGGCAATAAATCATACATGAGGAGATGGCCAGTCTTTCTCTCCCATGGAGCAGTTGATGAATTTGAACTGTGTGCCTTTGAGTTGGCCTTCTTACCACTGGGCCACCAGAGCTAGGAGTCCAAATAGGATGTCGGCTCTAGGGAAAGCGTCCTCTTATCTCTGTTGGCTTAGGAGGAAGGTCCTTGATTCTCGAAGGTTGGGCTACTGTACAGTTCATTTTCCTCTCTATCTCTACCTTTTTTTTGCGACTTATTCAAATAATTTTCTATTTCAAGAAAAGTTCATTTAAGAAACACCTAAGCATAGGTAGGGAGGTTAGGATTTTTATATTCATAAAATTCTTTAATGGTTCTTATTTCAGAATGCTACAATAGAAGTGATGATTTCTAGTGAGGACAACTCCGTGGATTTATTAGTACTTGTTAATGTTCTCTTTTTAACTTCCTTCTGTAATTAAGTCAGAGTTCTGACTTTTATAAGAAAATCAGTCTTAAAGCACTATATATATTTTCTAACAGTTAAAACAAAGACTCTAAGATTATATCTTGAAGTTATTAGACGGGAAGTGCGGACAGCTGTCTTTACTCTCATTGTGACCTTAAATCTGGTAACTGTTGAAACAAATAATTATTACACTCAAATTTACTAGAGATTTTCCTATACTCTAAGTTCGAATAATAAATTTTATGAATATTTATTCTTTTGTTTGATTTTAGACAACAGTACTTCAAATTAATTGATGAGTGTGTATCCCAGATTGTATTGCATAGAGATGGAATGGATCCAGACTTCACATACAGAAAAAGATTAGATTTAGATTTGAGTCAGTTTGTAGGTGAGTATTTCTCTATTATTTAAGTAGAAATATCTTACTATGTCTTTTTTCATGGGTTAATTCTAGAGAATTAGCTCACAAAATGATTTAAAAAAAAAAATAAAACATGTCCGTGGAAAAACTCTTAACATATCAATAGTACTGAATTTCATTAGTTGAATAAACGTCCTTGTCGATATGCTGTGTGATATCATAAGAGAGACACCTAATGTATTTCTTCTGCACAAACTGATAGCTAGACAAATACTTCTGTGGTTGGTTGCATTGTGAACTGGACTGGTCACAAGGTTTCAAGGAATGCTATTATTAACTTGAAAGAAACTATTTTCTTAGACTTGGGTTGTTGTTTGTTGTTGTTTAATGCCGTCGAGTCGTAGATGACTCATAGCGACCCTATGAACGAACAGCCTGAGCACTGTTCGTACATAGAGTTTCCGGAGGCAAGCCATTTTGGAAGTGGATGCCGCTCCTGCTTCCAGGCTTGATTTAGTCGGGAAGCTCCAGCCAACACTGTCCACCATGGGTGCCCATTACCACGATTGGCACATCACTGTCACAGGCTTCAGCATCACAGCAACCATGAGTTACCTCTGTACAGCAACGCACAGACCAGTGCTATACCACCTAGAAGAATGTTTGACAGGAAGACAATTTGAACCTGGCCGAGGGCCACAGATGACAATCACCCACCTTCGGCTTGGTAAGCACAGCTTTTCTGGGTAGTTTGCTCAATTTTTTTCTTAAAGATAAAATGATGAAATTTGTGACTAATGTTAAAATTTAAGCTTTAAAGTTGAGAATTTAAAACTTGGAAAATGTGTGGTTCTGCTTTCATCAGATTAATATATCATAAATACTAAATTACAGGTGATTTTTAAAAAATTGATGGTGATATTAGCTTGTGATTTTGATATTCTGTAGTCAGACGGAATCTCTGGTCGCAAAATCTGTAGAGAATTGTGTTACTTAACTAAAGGTAGCATATCTCTGATGGTTTGAATTTGTAGTGACTCCTCAGGAGGATGGGTATTCTCTTCCATGTGATTTACAAGAATTGAAAACCCTCTGGAGGATTAGCTGTAAGTCAGTTTATACTAACTAGTGGTGAGTGAATAATGCTGAAATGTGTTAACTTTCAGATGATCTTCTTAAATCGGCAAACACACATTTCCAAATTACCAACATGATATTACAAATTCTGCATGGGTAACTTATTCATTACAAGCGCACATTGACTAGTGAGTTTAACCAACTAAACAAAGTCCATTGATACGATACTATTTGGGCAGAATATTAAATGATGCAGGAAGCATTAAAAGAAGATGGAAAGAGTATACAGAGTCATTGTACCAAAAAGAATTGGTGGACACAGAAGAATTTCATGAAATAATGTATGAGCAAGAGCCTATGGTGGTGAAGGAAGAAGTTCAGTCTACTCTGAAAGAATTGGCACAAAACAAGGCCCCAGTCAGGCATTCCAACTGACATATTTCAACAAACAGATTCCTCCCTGGATGTTCTTCTCAAATTGTGCCAAGAAATCTGGAAGACAACCACCTGGCCTACTGACTGGAAGAGATCTATATTTGTTCTCATTCCAAAGAAAGGTAATCCAACAGAGTGTGGAAATTATAGAACAATATCATTGATATTACATGCAAGCAAGATTCTGCTGAAGATCATCCAACAAATGACTATAACAGCACATCAGCAGAGAACTGCCGGATGTACAGGCTGGATTTAGAAGAGGCTGTGGCACTAGAGATATTATAATGTCAGATGGATCTTGGCTGAAAACAGAGAGTACCAGAGGAATGTCTTTCATTGACTATGCAAAGGCATTTGACTGTGTGGATCATGACAAACTGTGGCTGACTTTGAGAGCAATGGGAATCCCAGAACACTTGATTGTGCTCATGTGAAACTTATACTTGGACCAGAAAGCAGTCCTCAGAACAGAGCAAGGAAACACTGCATGGTTCAAAATTAGGAAGGGTATGCATCAAGGATATATCCTATCTCCGTATCTTTTCAATCTATGTGCAGAGTAGATTATCGTGGAGTCTGGGCTCTGTGAGGAGAAGAGTGGCATCAAGATAGAGGTAGACTTATCAACAGTCTGCATTATGTAGATTACACAATCCTGCTTGCTGAAATTGAGGAGGACCTGAAGCACTTGCTGTAGAAGGTCAAGGACTGGAGCCTTCTATATGGATTGAAGCTCAGCATCAAGAAAACAAAGATTCTCACCACTGAGCCAATTGGCAGCATTATGATAAGTGGTGAAGAGATTGATTGTTGAAAGCTTTAGTTTACTTGGCTCTACAATCAACACTATTGGTACCAGCAGCCATGAAATTAAAAGACGGATTACATTAGAAAAGTCTGCTGTCAGAGACCTCTTCAAGTTACTGAGGAGCAACGATGCAGTCTGGAGACTAAGGTGCCCCTGATACAGGCCATGGTCTTTGTCATTACTTGCCATGCTTCAGAGAGCTGAACAATGACTAGGGATGATAGAAGGAGAATTGATGGCTTTGATCTTTGGTGCTGGAGAAGAGTATTGAATACGCTATGGATGGTTAGGAAAAGAAACAAGTTCTTCCTGGAAAGGGTGAAGCCAGGCTGCTTCTTGGAGGCAAGGATTCTGAAGCTTTGTCTGACTTACTTTAGACATTGCAAAGAGGGACCAGTCCTTGAAGAGGGCTGTCATGCTCAGTATAGTGGAGGGACAGCGCAGGAGAGGAAGACCCTCGATGAGATGGATTGATTACATTGCTGGGGTAGTGGGGATAGGCGTGTCGAAACAGTGAGATTGGCAAGGAATAGAGCAGGGTTTAGGGCTGTTGTACATAGGGTCTCTATGAGTCTCAAGAGACTCGATGGCACATAACAACAACAAAAACATATCATAACTAATCATTAGTAGACTACTATTTTACTAGTGTAAAATAGTGTACATTTCCTCTGCAAAATTTAGAAATGTGTTATAGCACCAAAGATCTATAGTGATCTGAAAAACTCATTAAAATATACCTTTCCTTTGTAATTAAATCTGTTTGAGATTTTAGTTTCTTCACTTGTTGTGTGAGTTTAGGAAGAAGAATGAAATGTGTCAAGAAAGGGGTAATATTAATTACACTGACAGAGAAATAGCTTTTGTTTTTTCCTTAATAGTAGAGATACTAAAAATCCTTTAGGAAGTGGAAGGATATGGAATTTAAAAAAAATAATGATCTAAAAGTGAAATGAAAATGTCGGACTAATATAAAAGAAAAAAGAAAAATCCCACATTAGAATACTTTTTCAGAGTACTGAGAAGTTTTGACATTGAATTGTAGGACAGTGTGATTAGGTTTTATTTGTATGATAACAGTCCAGTGTAAGAGGTGCATAGTAAAGTGGACTGGGGTGGGGGTGGGGGTGGGAAATGGTACAACAATAAAATAATTTTTTTTTTCAAAGAGAAAAGCTAACTGGTGTGGGCCAGGGAGAAAAATGTGCAACAATGAATGAACTTAATCTTCTATCAAAATCTCAATTAAAAAAGGATATTTGTTGAGGAAGCAAATATGGGTTGATTCTGTGAGACGTACTGCTATGGTTAGAATCTCTTATTATATAATTTTATATGTTTAGGATAAACTTAAATACAAGATACAGAACACTTAAACAGGAGGGCATGACACTGTAGTTGCATAAGTAGCTTAGAGCAGATTAGAGGTTAGTCAGTGGTTGAGAAAGGTGTGCAGACATATGGCCCCATTAGACAGTATGTATTGATTTCCACCATAAGAGCATGGAGCAGGAATGAAAGATTTACTTATTTAATATTATCTAGCCAACCATATTAGGAAATACGGTTATTATTGAGATTAGGTGGAGAAAATAGTTTTTATTTTCAATAGTTGGATATTATGCACAATAAATATCTTAAGTGATCAATCAAAAAATAATGATGTAGCATAGAAGAATCAATGCCTTTGAATTGTAGTGCTGGGGAAGAACATTGAACATTCATAGATTGCCAAGAGAAAAAACAGGCCTGTCTTGGAGAGGATGAAACCAAGTTGCTCCTTGGAGGCAACAATTTTCAAGGTCCATCTCACATACTTTGAGATTGTTTCCAGGAGGGACCAATCCTTGGTGAAGGACATCATGCTTAGGTTGAGGTACTGACTGTTCAGAAGAGGAAGACCCTACATAAGATGGATTGACACAATAACTGGGGTAATGAGGGTAGGTGTGTCAGAAGCAGTGAGATTGGCTCAAGATAGAGCAAGGTTCAGTGATGTAATGCATAGAGGATGAGTTGCAGTCAACTTGACAGCACGAAACAACAACTTATTGTACTTATAGATGATAGTATCCAGAATAATTTAATGCAGAAAGTGCTGTTTGAAGTTGTAGTTGGGAATTTGGATTCAGTGATTTAGTTACTTTCAATATAAGAGCCTCTCTTTGTATGTGTATTCCTGTGTTGTTGTTGTGAGATGTCGCCAAGTTGAGTATGACTCACTAGCAACACATTGAACAACAGACGTGAATCCTGCCTTATCCTCTGCCATCTTCACCATCGTTGATATACTTCAGACCATTGCTGCAAATACCAATCCACTTCATTGGGGGGGGGGGGCTTCCTTTTTTTGGTTGACCCTCTTCATTTCATGTGTATATATGTTTATTTATTATTTTTAAAAAGTAGTACAGTACATCATGGGAAATCTTTGCATTTTAATCTACAAATAGTCCTTTTGCACCGGAACCTATCATGTGTTTATATATCATAAGCTACTTAATCAATTTTTTATTGATGAGCATTCAAAATTTTCTATTTTTTTTTGCAAACACAAACAATATTTTGATGCAAAGTATTGCTTAAAGGCAAAGTCCCAGAAATAAATTTCTAGAGAAAGAAAAATATACATTTTCAGTTTTAGTGCATATGATTTGGTTTTTCATCAGCAAAATTGCTTTTTTCTGTAGTACAGGAGAATCCAGTTTTTCATGCCAATTCATTATTTTCTCTTTATTTCTGTTGACTGCTTTTGAGCTTGTGTTAGTCATTATTTTCCTTCTTCAAAATATGTATAGATGGATGAGAGAAACCTTTGAGAGATATATGTATAAGTGATCGTCACCTGTTTGTCTCTTAGGATTTAAAATTTTAATTAGATTTGCCATTTCTTTTAGCTTTCTGGCATTGGTGTCATATTCAGACAACCTATCTGTGTTCTAACATTTTTATCCGTGCTTTCTTATATTGCTCACAGTATCTCCAATTCTTTTCTATGATTTCCCCTTTGTAAACTTTTCAAATAGTAACAAATTTAACAAATACTGCAATTAAAATCTACCTGTCATTTCAATTTTAGATGTTTGCATAGATCAAGCCAAACTAGAAGAATTTGAAGAAAAAGCATCAGAACTTTCTAAGAAAGTAAGTAACTTAGTATTGAAATATTTGCGATACTGTGTAGAGAGCCCCTACAGGTAGCCTTGTGCTTCAAGGACTTTGGTTCACATGCCCTCTTCTAGTTTACTTCTTCTAGAGAGTTGTATTGACCATTCATTATTGTACGGTTTCTAGTTGCCCATTTGTAAACTTCACTTCCATATACATCTTTCGTGATTAGTTTTCTTCAACTGCTCTCTCTGACAGATTACATGTTTGGTGTATTTTTGTCTGTGTTTTGTGTGTTGTTTTCTATGAACATGTTTATATTTTTATGAATATTTTTCTATCTTTTTGGTATATTTTTTATTTCTCTCTTTAGAAGGAAACTCATGAGGGATCTTTGTTTTTGTTTACCTTATTAACTACCTTTGTAACTTTCCTGCCTGGGGTTTATATACACACACCCGCCCCTGGTAATCTCCTGTAAAGATGTCATATGTTGTTATTATGAATAAAAAAAGACTACCTAGTACATAAAGACAACAGACATAATGCCAAAGAGCCCATGTGTTTGATGTGGAGGGACCTATGCTAGCTTGAAAGAATTTTACACACTTGCAGATTGTAAACATCCTCAGCTTTTGTTTTGATCAATCATAGTTCATCACACAGAACTCAGATATCACTTGTCTGAGCAAACTTTCCCTTTTCCAAACAAGATTTGCTTACACAATACAAAAGAGATTATCTGTCAGAAATGATGTTTGATAGGATTCCAGTATATAAAATAGTTGATGAGAGTTATATCCTATGGTAGAATATATCACTTGATGAGTGTTATATGTTCCAATGATCGTCAACTATTTGCTATATTAAAATCCTTAGTGGATCTTTCCATTTATAGATGAGGAATTGTGGCACAGAGAAGTTAAGTAACTTCTTTTTTGTTACTTTGATCATGTACCAGCTACAAGCAGTAAAATGTCTCTCTTGAAATACTCTGTAGGAATAACTTATGAAAACTGGTAAATTAATACTGTGTGCTGTAGGCTCCAAACTAATTATAAAAGTCCTGCTCTAAGAAGTCCCAGACATTTAACTTCACCACACATATATTGAGATTTTTTTTTTTTTTATCCCTAGTCTTAAGCTAGAGACTGGACTGTGGCTATGAATGTTTTTTCACTACTCTGATGATGCTTTAGTGAGGAAACAAATTAATGAATCATTTCAATTAAGTATCATCAGGGAGTGTTACTATTGATTTATAGATTCGTTTATGTTATAGAGGAGTATTTTGTTGAGGAGCCCTTCACCAAGCCTTCTTTGTATTCCAATCTCAGTGATTGCATTCCAGCTTCCTTGAAAAGTCAACTAAGTTCTTAATTTGCTTATAGTATAAATTGCTCTTATACTTTATTTGAAAGTGTTAAACATCATCATTTCTTAACATATCTTTTTGAAATTGTAAATTTTGAATATAAATGGAAGAAAGACCTTGTTTAAGGTTAGTTATCTCCTTTGAGTCAGAAATGATACATCTTAAATATATTCAGAAAATATTGTTTGCTCCATAAAATATTTCTATTGCTGAACCACTTTGTGTATATCAGCAAGAACTTCTTTCTGATAGCTTTATAAGGACACATGTAAATACTTTGCTCTAGGCAGGAAGCTATCTTAGTTGCTAGACACATTCTTTATTTTGGTATATAAATTTGAAAAATGAAGAGCAGAAATGTCAGAAAGTACATAGCGAATATTGAATTATCAACCTTCTTGTACAGGCGCACTAATACATTTACCTTAGGGAATAAAATTAAGCAGAGCCTCAACATTAACTATATTTCTTGACATTTTTGAGTGTAATTTTGTAAGTGTAATATTGCTTTAGTAACTCTTTTTGAAGAAGAAGACTATCATATCACTTTTTCTAAAGTATGCCTTTAATGGAGATTCATTTTATCCCTGAAGCTACTGTGATTTGACTATAGATATTATAAAAATGCTAAAGCAAACTTTATATTTCCTGTGATCCTTTTATGGAGGAGGATGTTGAAATTTATCTCTTTAGTGAATAATACAGTTACTTTCAATAAGACTAAGTTAATGTAATACATTTTCTTAAAGTGTACTAATTATGACTCTGGCTACTTTGATAGGTTTATGTTTGTTTTTCTAAACACTCTCTTTTCCTTCTGGTTTTTAGTGTAAGAATATTTTAGTGAGCATATCAATATTGTCAGGAAAAAGACTTCCTTCTTATGAGAATTTAGTTATTTTGTTTCTTGCTGTATATCTTTAGAATTTGGGCAGTTACACAAACAGCAGTAGAGGAAATGATCTCTCAGAGTTTTTGGTGCTGGGAGAATAGAGTGCTATAATACGTGGTCTTGTACTTGACTCAACAACTAAAGGAAGATTTGACCGGAGGTGTCTCATCCACTTCACTCCAGTATTTTTAACTTTTGTTATGAATGTATGTTACTGAAAATATTAGAATAAAGCAGAGGAGACTATCCCCTACAATAAATCTCTATGTTTGTGTTACTGTGCTATTTTATAAGCAAATTGTGATTTTTTTTACGTAACAATCTGATAATTTTCATAATAGGAAACCCCTGACGTACTGTGGAATCATGTAGAAAAGGGTGGTCGTCTAGTCTTAGAAAAGTAGCAAAAGCTTACCCAGGGAAATGATATCTCTGTTGTAGGATTAGTCTTAAGTGAGAAACCCAAGGATCAGCAATATTTACATGTCTATTTTTAATTCCCAGCAGCTAGCAATGCTTTTATGTACCTCAGACCAAATTAGTTTTTGTTCTTTTTTGATATACTCCTGTGCCCTCATTCCATAGCCTCTTTTTCCTTTTTTTTTAAATCACAGCATTTTATTTTCAACCTGATGAAGTCACAAACAGCGTTTATCTTAGTAACTCATTCATTGCCTATGTTCTATCAGATCTCTCTGTTTTGGATTCTATAGTCTTGCTTCATTTCTCTCCATTTCTCTCTCCTCTACTTGGACTCGGGCAGGCTCTCATTTCTTGTTTGGATAACTGTAGGAATCACCAAACTAATTTCCTTGCTGCTGGTATTTCTTACTAGCTGTGAGGTGAGGGGCTCATGACTACCTTTTTGTGTGAAGAATGATTTAAAGATACAAATAGGAGGTTCTTAGTAAACTATTGAAGTCTGTGCTATTATTTTCCTAATTGAGGTTTGACTATATTTTATATTTAGAATTTATTTGTGAAATAATGTGTGTCTGAATGAGTACTTTTTACTGTATATACTTTGAGTTGACTACGTGTTCTTGAGTATGAGGCAATCCCTTATTGAAATTCACCTCCGCTTCAGTTATGATGATTGCAGAGTGAAGCTATTTGAATCCAAGATGGAAACCAGAGATCTTGATGAATGGCTTTATAAATTAGAAAACTCAATTAATTCATCCAATTTTATGACTTTCTTTTCTCACACATGATATTGCATTAGAGACTCTGAAAGATTAATTTGTCTTTGGAAGATTAATGATAAATATGGCAGACTTGATTCTCTTATGTTATTGAACATTACGGCCTGTGTGAGAGTCCTTAACTTTATGATATTATTAGGTGAAAGTAAATAATTGATGCATTTATAGAATGAAATTGTTTATTAATTTAAAAAGAAAATGGACTATTTAAATAGTAATGATAAACTGATAAATTTTAAGCAGGTAGGGGGAAGGGATTTCTACACAATGCTTTGCTATTTATGATTTTACACAAAGTTACATTGGTATTTAGGGACTTTTAAGCAAAATGCCAAGGTTGCAGATAACTATAGGGCAGTTTGCTCAGCTGGGAGAAGAAGGTCACAGACTCCCTCTTTGGCTTTTCTGCTCTCTTGCAAATAAACGATTTTGGTGGGACCTGGAGAGAACCAGAGAAAAACTGTAGGTGACTTAGCAGATACCTACCATTGCTTTTGTAAAACCAGTTCCGAAGTTTATGTTCTTCTGACAGATAGAGATATATTTCTGTGTAAAGAATAGTACTTGTCATTTTCATCTTTCTCTACTTTTTTTTTTCTTTATAGTATGAAAAAGAATTTACTGACCACCAGGATACTCAGGCTCAGTTGGAGAAAAGAGATGCAAAAATTAATGAGCTTCAAGCAGAATTACAAGCTTTTAAATCACAGGTGAACTATCATTCTCAGTAAATTTGGAGATTAAAACTTCATTAAGGGAACAGCATCCATGTAGTATCATCATTGCTTCTAAACTATATAGTCTTTAATTGCATGTGTATTTTTTCATAGTTTTGTTTATATGTACTTTTGTTGGGCTATGCTTGTTTTAAAACTATTTTTTATGACCAGCTTCTTTCCACTTTCATTTTTAGGAATGTCTCCGCATTTACTTATTAATCTGTTACCTTATGTTTCATTTGAAATTTGTCCCTTTTGACAATATCACATATTTCCTAAGTAATTAAGCATAAAGGTTAAGAAAGTCTTTTACTCCCAGATTTGTCATTCATCACCAATTTCTATCCCACTATAGGAAATTATTGCTCACGCTGTTTATTTTTCAAACCCTTCAGCCTGTGGGTACCTTGCAGTGAAAGATAACATCCAGCTGAATGGGAACATTTTCAGATAATTTTTCAATTTCCCAAAGTAAACAGATTTAAAACATGACTAAAGAAAAAAAGAAGAGAGCAAATCTAGATTATGAAGCAGATAGCTCACATACACTCTATACATAAAACATTCAGATAGCGAGAAATACATCATCTGCATGTTTTAAACAGATGAAAGTAAGGAGGCAAAATATTCATAACTAGATTTCTTATGTAGATTTACATTCAGGATGATGAGCAATAAGCACAGTTTGCTGTTTCCTTTTCATCCTAATTTATGGTTATGGTGAAATAGACTCAAGTATACTATTTCCTTTACTATTGCCAATTTTATTTTCTTTTAAGTACTTAGTGTATAGCTTTGTTACGGAGTTTGTCTGAAGACAGCCTAATAGATAGCTATCTGTTAGTGTTCAATTTGGAAAATAATTAAAATCTCCTTGCTGTGACAATATTATTCTCACAGCTCTCCTTTCGTGTCTGGAGAAGGAAATACTATATTCTGTCAGTTTTCCTCTGTCTTTCCCATGTGACTATTTGCGTCTCATACAGAAAGAAAAATTTACTTGTGCATTATATTTCAAGTTGTGATACAGGCAATGCCTGATATATGTATGGCTCATTTTTTTCCATGGTGTGGGCTAACAAAATTATAAATTTTCTCTTTAAGTTTTTTTTTTCCCAATTGAAAAAAATGTCTGTAAATTTACTCTAAAAAAAGGTAGATAATATTTTAAAAAATGCACCATCATGAGACTCAACTTATATCTTGAATTCAGTATTAAATATTTTGTTTTAAATTGTGCCGAGTGGTGATGTGCACATAATTAGGACTATTGGAAAAAGCCCTAGAATTAACAAAAAACCAAACAGTACCGTTTGTCATGGAGTTGATTCCAATTCACAGTGACCTTATATGACAGAGTATATAATGTCCCAGTAGGGTTTTCAAAACAGGAAACCTTTATAGAGAAAACGGCCTCGTCTTTCTCCTACAGAGAGGTTGTGGGATAGAAGCCAAATGTTTTACCACCTGAGTGCCACCAGGTTCTCTAGCCTAGAATTAGTGGCTTAATAATGCCCACTATATTCATTTTTTATGATAAATTGCTATTTGACTGTTAGTTCATTTTCTCTCTGTGATTCAGTTATCAGTAACCAGGCCCTTTGATAGATGTTGGAGATCTAATGGCTTCCTGCTGATACTCTGAAGCTTATCATGCATACTCTATCAACTGAAACTAGTCTAGAGCAAAGATGTGGCTATATTTTAAGGGAAGGAGGGAAAGTGAAATCTATATAGAAGAATGAATGAAAGGCCAATTTCTAAGTAACCTATGGAAATCATAATTTTTAAAAAAGCATAGAGTAGCTGCGAACTGTTGTATTTATTGCTCAAGCAGTTTGTTTTTCAAAACCTTCATCGTATTATGGGTACCTTACAGTGAAAGATAACCTCTAGCTTCACACCTTAAAAAAATGAGTCATACATATATATATCGGGTATTGTCTGTGTCATAATTTGAAATATAAAGCACAAGTAAATTTTTCTATATGAGACTCACAGAGTCACGTGGGAACTAATGAGTGTGAATTACATATCTGTTCTTAACATTCAAAGCACATTGCCATCCAGGTTTGTAGCAACAGAGGGTGACATTAGACTTTTCTTTGCACTGAAAAAGAAATTATTATGAGACTTGTTCTTGTTATATGATGTCACCTTTTATACTGTGGGTTTTCATTTTGAGCATTTTCGATACCTAAACGTAGATCCCTGATTTAAGACTCTATCTTTTGTTCAGTCTTTTGTATTTTATAGCTGTGCCCTCAAAACTTACGTCATTTTTGCAAATTTGGTAAAGTGCGTCTATATGTTTGTGTTCATGTACATGTGCATATCTATAGCACATTTAATAGGTAACTGCATCAAAATTAGTAATTTCATGAATATAATGAAATAACAAAAACTTATATAGCAACACTGAAGATTTTTCTTTAGGATAATTTAAAATGTATCTATTAAACCATTTTATCTACAATCTAAAGAAAATCGACATCTGCCATGGAGTTACCTGATATATGATGACCCTGTGGAGAAGAACAAACATTGCCTGGTCATCTGTCACCCAAACACTGGCTGACATTTTTTGACTCATAGTTTTTACTATTATGCCAGTCTCACAGCTTCTCTCTCCATTGTAGGGAAAAGCCCTTGTTTCTACCAGCATTTGTAGGTCTGGTGTTCTTGGACACTTCCATGTATCTTGATCTTCCCCTTGCACAGGAGCCTGGATCTAAACACATGCATTCACTCCTGGATGTTTTTTGGTGGTAGCATTTAGGACAGTGTTCAGACTGATTGTTCACAGAGTAGCTATGAATAGTACTTGACTGACAGCATCTAACCACCACCACCACCACCACCTCCACCACCTTCTTTCAGCTTGATTTCGTCCTCTTTATTCTGTAGTGAAGTAAAAGGTATTCCAGGCTACACCCCAGGAAAACACACCTGAAATCTGATTAAGTCGTGATGAGATTAAGAGACTTTGCATTCTACCCTTAAATCTCTTGCAAATATTTGGTTTATGAGATCATGGGGTTCATGTAATCATTGCTATTATGAGTCATGCAGTGAGAACCAACTCATAGCTGACCCTGTAGCAGTTTTCAGGTGCTGTAACTTTAAGGAGAGATTTTCCATCTTTCTCTCTTAGAGAAGTTCGTGTACTTAAACCATCTACCTTTGAATTATCAACACAACTCCTTACCTATTAGACCACCAGAGCTCCCTTTTATCAATGTTGTTGTCATTATGTGCAGTCTAGTTGAGTACAACTCATGATAACCCTATGAAAAACAGATCCAAATCCTGTCTTATCCATTGCTATCCTCACAGTCTCTGACATATGTGAGCCTGCCACAGCAGTTATTGTGCCTTTCTCTCTGGTTGAGGGTCTTCTTTGCATTAGCTGTCCCCTCACCTTTCCATGTATAATGTCCCTCTCCAGGGAATAAACTCTCCTAGCAACCTGCCCAATGTATGTAAGGTGTAGTTTTATCATCTTAACCTCCAAAGAGTACTCTCCTGCACCTTCTCCAAGACACATCTCTTTGTTCTTTTTGGCATTTCATAGGAAATTCAGTGCTCTTCCTCAATACCACAGTTCAGAGGCATCGATTCTTCTTCTGTCACCCCTATTCATTGTCCAGTTCTCAGAAGCATACCAAGTGATTGAAAATAATCAGGCACACCTTAATCCTCAAACTAACATTATTGGTCATCAATAATTTGGAGAGATCCATGACGTAGAGTTTCTCATGGCAGTGAACATGTCTCTTAGTCTCCTAACTGCTGGTACAAAATGTATTGATTGTGGATCCTTGTAAGATGAAGCTGTTGACAATCTCAGTCTTTTCCCCATCTACCATCATGTTACCTATTGGTGCATTAGAGAGACTTTTTTTTTGTATTGTTTGATCTTCTGCAGCAAGCACTTCAAATTCTTCTGATTTTCAGCAGCAAGTTTGTATAATCTGCATAAACAGATAGTTGAGTCTCCTTGTGAATCGTGATGCCCCATTTTTCTTCATAGACTCTAGCTTCTCAAATGATCTGCTCAGTATATAGATTGAATAGGTATGGAGAAAGGATACAACCTTGGCACTTGCCTTTCTTAATTTTAAACCCTTGCTTTGTTGGCAAAAGCAGCTTTTTGGTCTAGGTATAAGTGAGCACATTTAAGTGTTCTGGGGTTCACATTTTTTCTCGATGTTAACCCCAATTTGTTATGATCCAGTCAGATGCCTTTAAATACTCAATAAAGCATAAATAGACATTCTTCTGGTGTTCTTTGCTCTCAGCCAGAACCCATGTGACATCAACAGTGATAATCTTGGTGCCTCAGCTTCTTCTAAATCCAGCTTGCACTTTGCCAGTTCTCTATCTATGTATTATTCTAACTATTTTTGGAATAATTTCCAGTGGTATTTTACTTGCATGTGATATTAATGATAATGTTCAGTATTTTCCACATTCTGTTGGATCACCTTTTGGGGGAATTGGAACAGATTTCTTCCAGTAACTCAACCAAGCAGCTGTTCTCCAAATTTCCTGGCATAGACTGAGGAGCATGTCCATGGCTACATCTGTTAGTTGAAATATGTCAATTACTTTTCCTGGCACCTTATTTTTTGCCAATACCTTCAGTGCAGCTTGGACTTCTTCCTTCATTACCACTGACTTTTGAAAGTACTTTCTGAAATATTTCAAAATATTTCAATATTAGCCAATTTTTTTTCCGTTATAGCAATTCTGTGTATTCCCTCCTTTTTTTTTTGTAACTTTTCTTTTATGCTGGTTTATGTACAAAGTTAATAAAATTCATTTACATTGTTTTTCACACTGGACATAGAGTCACACAATTTGGTGGGTGGAGGGGGGTGTTAGTAAAGGAAAGGGGAAAGGTCCCCTCCATCTTTTGAGCCTTCCTAAAGTCATTCAGGATTTTACTCATAGTATCTCATAAGTATTGCAGCTCAAGGCTTGGCTTGAATACCACCCCCCCCCCCGCAGTGTTTTCAGCTGAAGAAGTGCTGCAGGAGTTTTTTTATTCTCCAAGTCAAGCTCATATTCCGTTATACAGCTTTGCTTTGTTTTCTTGAGCTGCCTTTTGGAATCTTCTGTTCAGCTTTTTACTTCCACTTCTCTTCCCTTTGTTTTTGGCTTCTCGATGCCCTAGGGGAATTTTCAGAGTCTCTTCTGACATCCCTCTTACTATTACAGAGGAGGGCTGGGGTCTGTGTGTATGTATATATTTATTTGGGTTTTTTGTTTGTTTGTTTTTTGGCTTGTATAATTGAATACATGAAAATGATGTTGCTAGTATTTAAAATACTTGTGGCAGAGCCTCCAAGAACCCAGCAGCTATAAATCACTACACTAGGTCTTCTTATTGATTGCTTTTGAGTTGACTCCAGTTGGTATTGATCTTGAGTAGGCTCCATTGGCTTTTTGTGCTGTGGCCTTTTTCAAGCAGTTTGCCAAGACTTGTATTCAGGATTCCAAGGTAGATTGGAAATGCCAACTTTTAGCTAGGTAGTTGAGTGTTTAACTATTTGCACTACCCAGGGATAGTAGGAATAGGGAAATAGTTTGAGTTGCTCAAACTGAAATTGCTTGCAAGGATAGCCTTTCAATGTTAGTACTGTACCACCGTTGACACCCATTTAATCTTTAATTCATTCTGGTTAGACTTTCATTCTCAGCATGGTTTAAATGATTAGAACACAAATGTATGATTTTTAAATTAACTTTTTTGAAATGATAGACAATCTCCTTTCTTCATATTTATCGCTTTGGAAAATACACTTCAGGACCAGTTTATGAGTTGAATCCGTCTCAACAAGAATGAGATTATTTTTTTTTTTTTAAGGTATTTTACTTGGGCTTTTGGTAACATTTTATTTTGTACAGTGTAGTTGTTGTTGATTTCCTTCGAGTTGAGCATGACTCATAGCGACCCTATGAACAAAAGGCCTAAAGCCCCTCTACAATGATAGACATTTATCAAAGTTCATAGAGTTTCCGGAGGCATATTGTTTAGGAAGTGGATGCCACTCCTGTTTCCAAACCTGTCACAGTATGTTATTGCTATTACGTGCCGTTGAGTCTCCTGCGATGTATAAGCAACCCTTTCTGTGTACAGCAGCTCTGAACCCTTCCCTGTCCTGAGCCTGTCTCACTAACTCCAACACACCAACCCCATTGTCCCAGTTAATGTATCAGTAGTTTGTGTGTTTTTTCTTCCTGGAGTTGAAATGTGACATTCTTTTTTTTCTTTTGTTTTCTTTTAACCTTGTAATAGATGACCCACATTTTTTAATTTGTGTTACTCTTGGTATAGTGGTGTAAATACTCAGCTGCTAATAGTTTTGATTAAAGCTCATAAAGAAAATCACAGAATGTAAAAAATAGGGGTCTGAACTCTATGTGGTCAGAAAAGATCTTCCAGAGGTAGGAACTTTGTAGGGCAGTGTTTTTTTTAGTGATTCATGCCATTCTTTCTTTAATTTGAACCACTTGTAGATACGAGTTGTTGTTGTTAGTTGCTGTTGATTCAGTGCAAATTCACAGTGCATCAAAGTACACAGAAGAGACTGCTGCACAGTTTTCAGGGAGTATTTTGGGGGACACAATTCAATCTATAGCAGTGATCTGCTGAAACAGGTTTGCTGATCATTTCCTGAGGGAACTTCCATTGGAGTTGAATCACCAACCTTTGTGCAGGTGACACAACCCTGCCTGCTGAAACTGAAGAGGAGCTGAAGCACCTGCTGCAGAGGGTCAAGGACTGCAGCCTCTAGTATGGATTGAGGCTCAATGTCAAGAAGACAAAGATTCTCACCACTGGACCAATTGGCAGCATCAGGATGGATGGTGAAGAGATAGAGATTGAGATTGTACACAGCTTTAGTTTGCTTGGCTCCACAGTCAACAGTCTTGGCACCAGTAGCCAGGAAATTAGAAGGCACATTGCCATGGGAAAGTCTGCTGTTAGGGACCTCTCCAAAGTACTGAAGAGCAGTGGTATCTCTCTGGAGACTAAGGTGCGTTTGATACAGGCCATGGTCTTCACAATCACTTGTTATGCATCAGAGAGTTGGACAATGACCAAGGAGGATAGAAGGAGAATTGATGCCTTTGAGCTGTGGTGCTGGAGAAGAGTATTGAGAATACCATGGACTACTAGAAAAACAAACAGATTTGTCCTGGAGAGGGTTAAACCGGGTGGCTCCTTGGAGGCAAGGATTCTGAAGCTCCGTCTAACATACTTTGGACATGTTGTGAGGAGAGACCAGTTCTTGGAGAAGGACATCATGCATGGGAAGGACATCATGCGTGGGAGGGTGGATGGACAGCGCAGGAGGGGAAGGCCCTCTATGAGGTGGATTGATTCAGTGACTAGGATAATCGGGATGGGAGTGTCAGAGATGGTGCGATTGGCACAGGACAGAGCAGAGTTTAGGGCTGTTGTTCATAGGGTCTCTGAGTCGCAAGTGACTCGACGGCACATAACAATAACAACAACAATGATGTGTCGATACCATATTTTTCTGGATCTAGTGTTTAACTTATCACTTAAATATTACTGTTCCATAAATTCAGCCTGTAGACTTTTTCTTATATTACAGATTCATGCTTGATGTGCTCTGTCTACTCTGACCTCAGCTGCCACCTAGACTTTTGAATCTCCAGATTTATATATTCATTTCACTCTAGGATATCCGTATACTCTGAGGACCATAATGACTTCCAACTGGGGAATAATATTCTGGCAATCATATTTGTGTGGAAACAGAGGCTAAAATTATGTTCTTAAATTGAGAAGCAAATATTAGACTGTTGTTATTAGGTTGACCTGTATAGAGTTACACATATGTTCAGTTGTCTTTTAGTTAAATGTATATACCATGATTTTTTTTTAATCTGTTTTGTAGTGTTTTCTTAGCTGCATTCCTTATTGTTTTTCCTCTAGTTTGGTGCCTTGCCAGCTGGTACAAGTACCTCTTTGATCCTGTCAAAAGAAGATGGGGATGGCCACTCAGCAGTCCCTCCCCCTCCCCCACCTCCTCCTCCGCCTCCTCCTCTTCCAGGATTGCCCATGCTGCCAGGTGGCCTTGTGCCTCCACCACCGCCCCTTGGGTTTCTTAGCGGACAAAACCCTTCTCCAATCCTGCCATTTGGATTGAAACCCAAGAAAGAATTTAAACCTGAAACCAGCATGAGAAGATTGAATTGGTTAAAGGTAAAGTGAAAAGAAACGTGGAAACGTATGCTCTTGTTAGGATTTAAACTGAATTTTAGACTTACTTATATACAATTTCTAATTTGAACCATAATGAAAGTGACATTAAATAAAATGGAATTTCCCAAAGAGTTATGAGACAAAGCCATTTGCTATTGATGAAGTCTTTTTGGTTTATAGAGGCAGAAGTTGATGTTGGATCGATAGGATTTGACTTGATAATTCAACACTCTGATAACTGAAGGCTGTGCTTATAAGGAGTGTTTGTTAAAAGTACAAAAAAATGAGTAGTCTTCTGAACATTTTCTATATTATTACTTCTGGGAAAAATATTACTTGAGAAGTGATATTTAGAGTATAGGAATTCTGAACCAAACGTTTTCAACCACCTACAACTTATTTTCAGAACTCTTGCTCAAAATACAAGGCCTAAGTAATAATTTATTCAGAGCTGGGGCATAGGCTTTAGTTTTGAGTAATTTCTACTGAAAATCTACAACAGTTTATTTGGTAATATTAAGACCTTTATTATTTGAGAGGAGGGCTGACATAGAAGTGGCCTAATATTTTATAGTTATATTTATTTCTATTAAGTTGCCTCTGATGCATGTTAGTATACCCCTTTCCCAGGGTGCAATATGATATAAATGCTCTAGATTTTATGTTTGATGAGAAGGGATTAAATTTGTAATAGAAAAGGGAAAGAACGAGAGGGCTATTTTCAAGTATTCTAATTCTTTAGTTTCATCTTTCTTTGTTCTCCAATCTTGTTTTCTGTCAGCTTTCAGAAGGATAGAGAAAATGTCTTCACTTAAATGCCACTATGGTTCTGGATTGCAGTTTTACTTTACTCATTAAATGGGAGTTCGTGATTGACAGTAGAAAAGCTGGAATCCCTGGTCCTAGAGTTGAGATGGTAGAAGGTTGTGGTGTTAAACTAAAGGCTGTACTTAATCTCCTAGCCAGTCTATGTGAGAAATGTGGAAAGTCTCCTCCTCTGCAATTTATAGCCTTGGAAATTAACTGAAGGTTCAGCTATAAGTCAAAATCCACTTGGCAGCAATGAGTGAGAAAGAGGAATAAGATATTTGAAAAGTTGCCCTTATGGCATGGTATTTGTTATATACTGTAGAGTAAAAACAGCCCCATAACTTATATCCACTGGCTTTTCCGAGGCACAGAGTAGATTGTACAGAAGATTGCCCATCTTTTTCCAAGGGAGCAGCCGGTGGACTTGAATCACATGCCTTTCTGTTGGCTGTGGAGCTCCTTGTCACTGTGCCAAGGAAAAGTAAGGGGTTTAAATTCACCAGCAGTTCTGTAGAAAAAAAAGATAGTCATTCTTCTGTTGTAAAGCTTTACGGCTCTGGAGACGCAGTGGAAGATCACTGTGTGTCTGAACAGACTTGATGGAGGTGGTTTATGTGACATTTAAGTAGTACCTGGGACACAGATTGCGGCTACTATGTGAAAGGGCCGTAGTTGCAGTCTGTTTGCTGCTTTGGGTGGAAAGCTGCAGCAGTGTAATTCTACAAAGATTTTTGTCTTGGAAACTAGTGAGCAGTTCTGGTCTATCTCATTATGATAAGAGTTGCAGTCTAGTCTGTAACAATGACTTTGATACAGGTGTGGAGACATTTAGCATCAGCCATCTGGACTGTCATACAAGATATCCAATGGCAGTTCTGCCATGTGTACTGTGAGATCACCAAATTTATTGACCTATTTTGAAGGTAAATAGAAGAGATTATATATATTCCAAATTATATATTTAGGAGAAATCTCTTCCCTTTAGTTTTTCCCTTTTTTCACTCATTTATTTATTTAGTACATAACTTATTCATGCAATAAATGTATACTTAGTATCTAGGTACTGCTTTTTAAGGGAACCCTAATAGTTTAATGATTAAGCATTCAACTGGTAACCAAAACATCAGTGGTTCAAACCCATTGGCTGTTGCGTGAGGACAAATGCAGCAGTTGGCTCTGATAAAATCGGAAATCCTGTGCAGCAGCTCTGCTCAGGTTCACTGTCTGTTGGAATTCAGCTCGACGGCCATGAGTTTGGTTTGGCTTGAATGGTATTCTAATATGCCACTTTCCTTTATTTACTACAAAATACCCTGAGAAAGTGCTTTTCATATGCAGCTTTGCCAGATTGTGCCCCTTTGCCAGCTGCTTTCTGCCAGGTGTATTGCAGAGAGAAGATTTCATGGTTTTATGGCCTTGGGAAGTACTGCATACTATATCTTGTACATCAGTAATGCTGGTGGCCATTATTAGAGTCTCTGAGAAATGCAATTGAGAACAAACAAGTTAAACATCATTCTACTTAGCATCACTCCAGCCATATGATTGTGGAACCTTTCCCCCCTAATAAAACGTGTTGTTCTTGAGTTCCAGTGAGTCAGATCGCTGACCCTCCCATGGTTTTTCAGAGGCAGTACATTGCCTAGGAATAGACTGCTTATCTTTGTCCTGCTGAGTACACATTTGAACCATATACTTTTCCTTTAACAGAGCAATTCCTTATTGTTAAGCCACCAGAGCTCCCATAAAAAAAACAACACCTTGTTCTTGTTAAGTGCTATTGACTCATAGGCAACTCATAGCGACCCTATGAACGAAAGTCCTTGACACTTGCTTGTGCGATTTTCATCCTTTCCCCAGGTTCATAGGGTTTCCAGAGGCAAGCTATTTATGGAAGTAGATGCCACTCCTGTTTCCAAGCTTGTTTCAACTGGGGATCGCCACCAAACACTGTCTTCCATGGGTAACCGTTGTCACATTTGACACATCAGTGTCAGTGTTCAGCTTCACAGCAATCACAAGTTACCTCTGTCTGGCAAGTGGACACACCTGGGCTATACAACCTAGAAGACGGTTTACACAAAAACATTGAAAAACAGGCCTTAAGGCCATGGATTAGTCTCACCCATCTTTGGCTTGGCAGTATTGCTTTTGGTCCACTAGACCAACAGGTTTCTCTCTGTGTTGTTAAGTGCCGTCAAGTCGTAGGTGACTCATAACGACCCTATGAACGAAAGTCCTCGACACTTGCGTGGGCGACTTTCATCCTTTCTCCAGGTTCGTAGGGTTTAGCATCCTTTGAAACTTACGGTTGAACATACTTTGGAGAACCATCTTACAGGAATAAACATACTTCGACTGCTGTCGAGCCCTGTGTCTGTGCGTCACACTTAGACAGGTGAATCATCCAGTTGTTTATTAATCAGTCTTCTCTCTGATTGCAGATCAGACCTCAGGAAATGACAGAAAACTGTTTCTGGATAAAAGTAAATGAAAACAAGTATGAAAATGTAGATTTTCTTTTTAAACTAGAGAATACATTTTGTTGCCAACAAAAAGGTAAGTTTGACATTTTAGTTATTCATGAGTTAACTTTTTGTAATTCAGGGCTGCTACTTTTTATATACTAACCTCTAAAAAGAATTACATTAACAGTCTCATACATGATTTTTTTATATTATTAAGAGGAAATGAAACAATCTAATGAAATGTTTAATAAGAGCAAACGTTTTTATACTGATACATCAAAGATTCAACTTGTTGAATGTACATAGTGAGTACAAACTTTGTTAATTTTTCTATATGATACCTTTTCTTGGAGATAATCCACTGGGATCAATCTTAACTTTTTAACAGAGTAGATCTTAATCTGAAAGCACATTCCCTTCAGGCATTAGTGTTTTTAGGAATGATTGAGTTCGTGCACAGCTCATGCTGCCCCCATTTGTAAAACAGAAGAAAATGCTGTCGGATCTTGTACCTTTTCTTGATGGGTTATGGGCCAGGTCTTTGTAATCTTTAGTGTTTTCATTGACTGATGTGTAGAAGTAAATAGCCAGACTATTTAAAATTTTTGGTCTTAAATTTGGAAAAGTTCCTCCGAAGTCTGTTCAGCAACACAGCCAAATGAAACATTGGTGGTGGCTGCCCATTGAGGCAGGCACATGGGTTAGTAACTGAAGATCGCTTGCATAAATGGTGAGGTTTCAACCACTGAAACACCAATAAAAAAAACAAAAAGCAAGCCACCAAATTAGAAAGATTCCTCTCATCTGAATTTTGCCACATCTTGATATAAAAAATTATTCACATAATTAATTGTTGTTCAACTTCAGTTTTGTTGAATCCGTTCTCACATAGCAACTCAGTTATACACAGATCCTAATGCTGCCATCGTCACAGTTGTCGCTGGGTTTGAGCTGTTGTGTCAATCTGTCTTGTTGAGGTTCTTCCTCTTTGTCGCTGATGCACTACTTTACCAATCATGACTTGACTTCTCCAGGGATTCGTCTGTTTTTTTTAAGCATGTGCAGAGAACTCATTCCTTCCTTTCTTCAAAAGAACTCCTTCTGTGACAGATTTCTTATCCAGCAATCCATGGTATAATCAATATGCTTTGCTAATTCAGATGCATCTTCTTAGATTTCCCTTATTCACTTACTGGTCAGCTTTTGCTTGTTTATGAGCCACTTGAAAATTGATGGGTTCTCTTTAGTTTTTACTGTTTGTTTTCCACTGACTGATTTTGTTGGGTTTTTTGAAAGCAGGTTGGGAAATCCTTATTCCTAATCTCTACTGAGGGAGCTCTGGAAGTGCAGTCTGAAGGGGGTTTGCCGGTCAGCACGTCTCGAGCGATTTCAGTCCACCAGCCACTGTGAGGGGAAAGCTGAGCAGTCTCCTCTGTGCAATTTAGAGTTGCCAAAAATCTGTTGAAGGATCAGCTCTGAGCTGGTTCCGATTCAGTGGCAGTGAGTTTGATCAGTGCTATTTTGGAAGTTTTGCTGAAATTTGACCATTGGAGCGACGCTGTTAATACTTGAAATATAGATGGCATTGGTATGTTCATTGGAACATACCAGGCACCACAGTATTACAAACTGACAGACAGTAACTAACTGCAGAATTAACTAACAAATGGGCAAAAAGATGCAAGATAGTGAGTACATTAAAAGTAGACAGTAAATATCGACTGTTTGAAAAAGAAGTATATAAGTAGGGTCTAGGAATGGTCTTTTTGTTAACAGCAATAGCATTTTTTTCCCAAATTGTTTTGTGATAGTATTTAACTTTGAAGTATGTTTTTTTTGTGATTATTTTTAATAAATACTAAAGGCTTATTTTTAACTGGAAATTGCATTTATTTCATCCAATATTACATGCATATCACTAAACTCTACAATCTTAATTATCTATTACTATTGTTTTTTGCCATCAAGTCAGAACTAACTCATAGCTGATCCTTTAGTGGGTTTTCACAGGCAGGGAAGAGGCTGCTGATCTTTATTTCTGGGAGAAGATAGTGGGTTTGAAACAAATGTCTTTAGATTGACAGTCCAACTCCCTACTAGTAGGCTACTAGAGTACTGCTTTAAGAGAAATACTACAACCACTAGCTTTAAGAGGCCAATGTATTTTCTTAATATTTAAGAGGCTATGGATAAAATTTAAGAGGATATGGGATCTAAGGAAACCCTTTCTTTGTCATTTTTGGAGGAAGATCCTTATTGCCTTCCACATCTCATTTGTCTTGACTTTCATCTTTGTCAAGATGCTTCACAGCACAGGGACTGGAATCCAAGGGACTGATGCACTCTTGGTCTTTCTTGGAAGTCACTTCTCTCTGCTAACTTTTCCCCTGTTATCACTGCTTAGATAAAATTGTATGGCCACACCCTAGGGAAATTGAATCAGGGCTGTGATAGATTTAAGGATACTGCATCCATCCTACCCTTATGAGAAATCATAACAAAACTTCTGTTCTGTGCTATCTAGTGGGATCAGACTCATAGCTTCCACTCCAGTAGATTTTCTGAGGCTGTAAATCAAAGGGGAGGAGATTGCCCATTACATCATTCCATATCACATATCCATGACATCCACATACACTGCCACGTTAGCTTTTGCATTATGTGTAAAGTTTACATTTTAATTCTGTAGCCCAAGACACTTAACTTGGTTTAGACATTATCTATTAATCTTTAGAAAGACCTGTTTCACTATAGAGTTATTTATGCTTCTGGACTCATTGAAAACAGAGAGAGCTGGCTAAGATTGTAGGAAGGAGAAGTAAGGAACATGATATGTAAAAGGGAAGAATTGAGTTAAATTGCCTACTGTGTTCTAAGTACTATGCTTAGATACTACTTTATTCATACTCTTCACCTTGATTGTACAGCAACCAGGGAATGCTGGAAGATTCATTAAAAATGGATCCTTTGAAAAACATTGCAGAAACAATTGAAAATTAACATTATAGATAATTATAAATTAAGAAAGCTTTCTAGATTTGCGGTAAATCCAAAACCTTTAACAGGTGTTTTTAAGCACCATTATTCATGTTTAAAATTTAAAAAATTTTATATATTTAGGTCTCTGAAAATAGAATTTTCTCACCAAGCCTACCTTTGGAAAACTGATGAAGTAAGCAGATCTTAATTTCCCCTTTTGATTATGGCGAATGAAAATTTTCTTCTTTGAATAAAATTAGTGCACTCTTCAGGCAATCAAGGAAAATATATGGCAGTTAAAAAGTGTATTTACATGTAAAACACTTTAGAATTTCAGATTTCATAATCTGGAATTGATTAGTTTCCCCTTTGCTTTCCCTGTTGGCAAGAATGGTGGTACCGAAAAGCTATTTCTACCATCTAGCTTCTCCCTCTCCCCCCCTTTACTTTGATTACTTTCTTAATTAATGAGGCTCAAAAGGGAAACTTGTTAGCATGTCTTTAATTTAGCTGTAGTTTTAACCCTAAATGAAATAATTGGACCTTTAAAAAATTCTTAAGTCATCTAACTTTAGCCTTGAGATTCAAGGCTGGGGGCAGGGGAAGATCTGTTTGCCTAATCTAATAGTTACAAAGATCAAAATGAGAATCACTTTGTAAATATTCTATACTTCTTCCTCTCTCTGCCTTTGACCATGATGTCCCCCCTCCCTGTAATGCCCGTCACTTGTCTTGGAGCTTGGTAGAATCCCGTGACTTCTTTTGTCTCAGTTCAAATGCTGCCTTTCTATAAATGTGGCTATTTTCCAAGGTGAGCAGAAATAGGTGCAAAAACCTAGTTTTGTTATCCTGAGTATTGCCAACATTCCAAGATGCAAATGGTAGTAGAGTTGTGAAGATGACTATTTTATCTCTACATTTTTAAGAATAGTTCCTAGAAAGCATTGAGGACCTCCAAAGATTGGCTTATGGCTAGAGCTCTGAAGTATAATGTGTAATGTTATTGGGCTGCTAACCAAAAAGTTTGGAAGTTTGAACTCACCATCTACTCTGTGGGGCAAAGATGGTCAGTCTCTTTTTGTACCATTATTTTAAGGCAATTTCTTATTAGCGTTGGAAACCTAGGGAAGGGGCACTGTATTTACAATCTACTGAATGGCAGTGAGTTTGTTTTTACGTTGTTTTGGTTTGGTTTGGATTTGCATATAGTAATGCTATGAGTTGGAAATGACTCAACTGCAGTAGATTTGACTTTTGGTTTAAGTGTGCTTTTCAACATTACTAATAATTGAGTGGAATGAAACTAAACATCAAGAAGACAAAGATCTCACCACTGGGCCACTTGACAGCACCATGATGAATGGAAAAGTGATTGAGATTGTTAACAGTTACAACAATCAACACTCTTGGCACCCTTCATGGTCACTCATTTTGTATAATATTCATGAGTTCTTTGCTTTTCAATGCAGCATAGTATTCCATTGTGTGAATATACCACAGCTTTTCTATCCATTTGTTTGTTGATGGGCACTTGGGTTGTTTCCAACTCTTTGCTTTTGTGGACAAAGCTGCAATAAACGTGGGTGTGCATATACCTACCATGGTGGCAGTTATGGTTTCTTTAGGGTATATTCCCAGTAGTTGAATAACTGGGTCAGATGGTATTTCTATTTCCGACTTTTTGAGAAAGTGCATTACTTCCTTCCATAGTGGGTGCACCATTTTACACTCCCACCAACAGTGAATAAGGGTTCCAGTTTCTTTGCAACCTTGCCAGCAATTGCTGTTTGCTGTCCTGTTGAATTTTGCTATTCTTCCTGGGATAAGATGATATCTCATAGTTTTGATTTGCATCTCTCTTAGAGCTAGAGATTTTTTTTTATTATTAAATTTTATTAGTATTAATGAACATTTACAGGGATTTTGGGTTTTCATTCCTTCATTGCTGTACCATTCTCTCTAACCTCTTCCCCAGTTTGTTCTTCTTCCCCCGCCCTCCGAATGTCTGTTTTAATTGTCCAATTGCCACAGTGCTTGTCAAAACCAGTTCTGTTTAATCTCCTTTGTCAGTGTGTCCTTTGCCATTCCCTATCACTCCTCCCTGAGAGAGAC